AAGAAAGTGTATTAGTCCATTTCTGTTGCTTATAACAGAATACCTGAAATTGGGTAATTTATAAAGAAATAAAATTTATTAACAGTTTCAGGGACTGGGAAGTCCGAGGTCCAGGTAATACATCTGGTGAGGACCTTTTTCTGGGTGGTGACTCTCTACAGCCATGCAGGGTATCACATGGCGAGAGAATGGCCAGAGCTAAAGAGAGCTGACCTCCTCACTGGCTCTCCTTCCAAAGCCATCAGAGCCACACCCATTACTCCATGAATGGATCACAAGGGCACAGTCCTCATGATCCAATCACCTCTCAAAGGCCCCACATTTCAAATAACATAATTAGATTTCACAACCTCTTAACACTGTTACAATGGTGTCAAGTTTTCAACACATGAACTTTTGGGGACACATTTAACTCATAGCAGAAGGGGTCACTCCCAGCCACACTGCCTACTGGGTGGTGGCTGCTGGCACCAAGGCCAGCTCTCCTGACCCTCTGGGTTTCCTTTCTTCCAGCAATGACATCTAGAGAGCCCCTGCACGTGAAGACCCCCATCCGTGACAGCATGGCTCTATCCAAAGTGGCCGGCACCAGTGTTTATCTCAAGATGGACAGTGCCCAGCCTTCTGGCTCCTTCAAGATCCGGGGCATCGGGCACCTCTGCAAGACGGTACAGGATAGTGCCCACATCATCTGGGTGGGGGTGACTGATCTTCCTTCCTCAACAGGGCAGGGCCAGTGTGGTGTGACATAACAGGAGCCCAGCAGGTCTGCTGACTCCCCACAAGACCTCAGCATCCACCATTAGGGCTTCTTCTGGTTAAGGGTTGCCTGTCCACAAGGGTTCCTTTGGGACAGATCCCAGAGCCATCTGTCACCTGTCTTCCTTCACCCTACCCTGAGCCAGTCTTTTTGGAGAGGGAAGATGCAGTCTGAGACTAGCGTAGCCCAAATCCCATGTGAAGGAAGAAGAGGTGGGAGGGGAGAGCCCAGCAAAGACTGGGGGTGGGCCTGACCGCCCCCACAACTTGTCTCCACAGTGGGCTGAGCAAGGCTGTGAACATTTTGTCTGCTCCTCAGGTAAGTAACCTGTTTCCCCTCCTGTCCTCTGCTGTGTGTCCTGGGGCCAGGTGCTCCACCTCTCTGGACCCCAATTTCCCCAGCAATGAGCTGTTGCAAACATTTGCAGCAGTCCCAATTTGGAATTCCAGGGGGAGGCTGGTGGTCACCAGTGGAGGGGATCCAGAGCCCCAAGTTGGGGGTGGGCAGTCCTGACCCTCCCACACCATCACATTCTCCACCCCCACTCCTGGCAGCGGGCAACGCAGGCATGGCAGCCGCATACGCCGCCAGGAAACTGGGCATCCCCGCCACTATCATCGTGCCCAGCACCACACCTACCCTAACCATCGAGCGGCTCAAGAATGAAGGCGCTATGGTCAAGGTGGTGGGTGAGGTGAGTGCCAACCCATGGCAAGGACCACAAGGGCACTTGGTGGCTGGACTGGGTCCCCCCCAGTGCCTCACCCCCTCCCACCTTCCCTGTGACCTCGCAGATGTTGGATGAGGCCTTCGAGCTGGCCAAGGCCCTGGCGAAGAACAACCCAGGCTGGGTCTACATCTCCCCCTTTGATGACCCCCTCATCTGGTACGTGGAGTTCAGGGTCACCTGGTGTGGATAGCAGTCAAACCCCTACACCACTGGGCAGCATCTGCCAGAATGCACATCGTCCCAC